GCAGCTCATAGGTACCTAGTGGTAGCTCCGATGATGTTGTCCAAACAATTCGTAGAAGCGGAGTGTCTTGTTCGTCTACCAGTACTTGTCGGTACATCTGCTTGGCGTCAGCAATGACCATTATTCGACGGATTTGGGAGCGCATGATGATCGACCGAAACACTTGCTGCACGGTTGCGCCTACCATGAGTGCGTCGTTGAGCGATGGTACCTCTGGAGTCCTGCATGATGCGTCGAAGACCACTCGCAGCTTCGTAGTAGTGTTCTCTTCTCGAACTACAGCGTGGTGAGGCATATGATAGCATGGAGATGGTGGCGACTGTCGACTGCTTCATGTGGCCCAAAGCAAGGTATTCGTCCATGAAGTCACGGTATTGCTGCGCTATGCCTGGGTTACGAATAAGTCGACCTTTCAGCATTCTAAAAAGACGGACGGCAGTAGAACGGGTGTCGCCAAGGATATTTTTGTGCGTTGAGATTTAATGACTTGCTAGAGTGATTCGGTAATGAAGCAACATTCACTACCGGAGTCGAGAAGCGCTCTGGCAACATGTTCAGTGCCGTTGTCGTCCATTAGTTTAACGACTGCGGTAGCCAAAAGCACACCCTTTCGTGCTTGACCGGTGCTTGCATGGCTTGCATGTCCGGTGACGGTAGCGGATACAGATGCTTTCGGCTGTTCGAGTTTCGCAGAGGATGTTGTGGCTTTTGATTGAGGACTTGGTTCCCTGGCAGAATTCATCCCGGAGCAGAGCTGTGTGTGTGACGACTTCGACACTTTCGGCAGGAACTGCCTGACGAACACTCTCGAGCTTGGTGACCCGTGCGCAGGCAGTTGAGGCATAGTTGATGGCCGCGAACTTCCTTTTCCTTCGCTTCGACGTCGAGTTTCGAGAACAGCTGGCACATATAGAGTGGGTGATGATCAGAACACACGACGCATTTCCGGCCAGTGTGAACTTGAATGGCCCCATGACTAGCAACGACACGTTGACTGGACCTTTTCATCTGTTGAGTAGATGCTGGAGTGTCGAAAGCTTTTCCCTGGATCGTTTGCAGAACAGTCACTCTTCGCTGGATGAAGGATGTCAGATCCTTGAACGTCACGTCTGGTTTAGTTGAAGATAATTCCTCCCAGTCCCTCCGAGTTGTGGGATCTATGTGGACACTGAGCATACGGATCAGAATGGAGTCGCAAAACTTGGTTCTCTCACCGAGCTGCTTCAACACCTTCACGTTGGCTTCGAAGCTCTCTACCAGCAGATGTAAATCGACCCCAGGATTCGCGTTTCAGAGTACCGACTTCGAAAAGAGCGTCGAGGTGCGATTGTTTCAGACGCGAAGGGTTTTGATAATGCTCAACCAGCAGATTCCAAGCCACATGGTAGTTATTGGCACGCTTGAATCAGTTTTAAGGCCTCTCCAGCCAGAGAGGAACGAAGGTAGTAAAACTTCTGAATGTTAGATAATTCGACAGAAGGGTGAACCAGAGAGACATACAGATCATGGAAATTCAACCAGGTGTCGATGTTTCCACTGAACGTAGGAAATTTTATGTCATGTGAGTGCACATTCGACGACGAACCATGGAATTGTTTTTTTTTTTTTTTTTTTTTTATAGTTACTTTAACACTCGTGGGTCATTCGTGACTTGTCCGGGGGTGAGATTTGAACTCGTGACTTTGGCGTGAGAGATATGGATGTTAACCACTACGCCGGGGTCGCCCCCCAATACCATGGAATTGTGACCTTGAAGAGGAAGACGTAGTCATAGACGTCGATAGCAAAGATTTATTTTTGGATAGCAAAAGACTTTCACTCGGTAGTAGGCAGTTTCAAAGTCGATCCGTTCTTTAAGGTGCTCGTCGATAGTCTCACCGACGGATTTGAGCTCCGATTGAGTGCTCTGAAAATCGGTCCACACCTTGTTGAGGTTCTCAAGGTGTACCGGTATCTCGAAGGCATCCCTTTCTTCCTGTTGATTGTTAACGAACGTCTTGATCAGGTTGAATGAGACGGTGGGTGTCCACAATGAAATTGCCACACTATGAAATTGCTCTAACTTTTTAACCGTTGGGTAGAATTTAATGAAAATTTGGGTGGATTTAGTTCATAGTGCATTATTTATATCCTGCAAGTTTTAAAGTCCTGTGATCAAAACTCGCGGAAATGGAGTCGAAAGAACAGCTCGTGCGTGATAAAATCTTGCGCATTCATCACGAGAACAAGGATCTCTCGCATCGTTCCATCGCTAAAACGTTGGGAATCGCGAATTCCACGGTGTCGCGAGTGATTAAGCGGTTCGAGGAACGGTTGACCATCGATCGGAAGCCCAGAAGTGAAGGAAAAAGTATTCCGTACAACACCAAAAATCACAACCGCGTAGTTGGGGCCTTCAACCGAAATCCGAACGCCTCCGTTAGGGATGTGGCTAAGAATCTGCACCTAAGCCGAAGTTTTGTCCAGAAGGCCAAAACTAAGGCTGGGCTTCGAACGTTCAAGGTACAAAAGGCCTCTAATCGCGACGAGAAGCAGAACAAGTCCGCCAAAACCCGTGCCAGGAAATTGTACCTCAACATGCTGACGAAAGTTGAATGCTGCATCATGGACGACGAAACATATGTGAAGGCCGACAGATCCCCGGCAACCTGTTTTTCACGGCCAAGGATAAGTTCAGCGTTCCGGAGCATGTCCGCACTCAGAAGATGTCCAAATTTGCGAAGAAATTCCTGGTTTGGCAAGCCATCTGCACGTGCGGGAAGCGGAGTGCACCTTTCGTGACCCAGGACACGATGAACGGACAGGTGTACATAAAAGAGTGCCTCCAGAAGCGGCTGCTTCCTCTCCTGAAGGCCCACAACGTCCCAACAATCTTCTGGCCGGATTTGGCTTCATGCCACTACTCCAAGGACGTGCTGAAGTGGTATGCGGACAATAAGGTCCATTTCGTGCCGAAAATGTTCAACCCTCCCAACACTCCGGAGCTCCGCCCCATCGAGAAGTACTGGGCGATTATGAAGCAGCACCTTCTTAAACGACCTAAGGTAGTGAAGACAGTCGAGGAACTGAAGAAAGTATGGGTTTACATGCAAAAAACGGTTGATTCACAGGTTGTGCAGAATCTTATGGCCGGGGTTAAGGCCAAGGTGCGGGCGTTTGCGTATGGACTGTAAATAAAATACGAGTAAAATGGTAAAATGAAGTTTAATAGTTATTTCTCAATCCCTGAAAATTTGATGGCAATCGGATGAAAACTCGAATTTTGCGAATCAATTTTGTGTGTGGCAATTTCATCGTGGACACCCTTTAGGCTCTTCAGCTTGGTCTTCAATCCCTTGATGCGACGTTCCGTTGACATGATGAACGGCGACAGTGGTCTGCAAAGCGAAAGACTGCGCAGATCACACGAGAAAGAGTAGAGGAAATAGGAAACCTAATTACCTTTGAAAAGGCAAACTGTGCCTTGTATAGCTATTCAATTTGCGAAAGTGATGGCGTGTTCCAACGCTACTTCGCGATTGTTCCACGGGCTATGATGGCGGACCGTGCGCTAGGTGTTTTGTAGTAGCGATGGTGGTTGTCTCACAACGGACAGTTACCGGAACGGACGGAGTTCGACGGCCGTGATCCGGTTCGAAGGATCATATAATTTTAATGACTCTTCTCTACTGGTTCACTAGCGGGTACACTTGAAGATAATGATAATGATGGGGGTCGTGTTGTCACTTTTACTGATAATGAAAACAATCTTGGATCGGCTTTTATAACAGGTCGTCTTCTGTTTGGTTCGCGGGAAGAGTTGAATCGCAAATTCCCGAAGGGAGCCATTGTCGATGAACGGGATGGTTGGTGCTGACATGCTGCAACTATTCACACCTAGGTGCCGTGAAGATGCTATTTTCGTGAGGCGAACAAGTAGTTTCTAAGAAATTATATATTTTATAAACAAATTTAAGCCACGTAGACCTTGATACACCCTGTCTACCTCTCCGTAGACTAGCGTAGATGTTTTGCCACTCCTCCCTCCCACTATAATGAACGGCCTTAAAGCTCTCTGGCTTCCGACTTTTTCCAGAAGTTTCTTCCCATCTACCTTAGGAACATTCTTCCAGCGTTTCCAGAAAGATTCTAACCTCTTCGCTAGAAGGTTCAAATAAATTTCTACCGGATGTATCTATCGAATTCTCCCACAAGTTTCTACCGTCCACCTCTGGAAGTTTCTCCATAATCCATTCTCCGTAGAAGTTTTGGGCGGATTTTCCGAGCTCATGGAAATGGCCACTCCTGGTATTTGCTTCCGATTTGCGAAACTTTTTCGACAACTGTTTTTTTTTTTTTTTTTTTTGCCAGAAGTTTCTCAATATTTGTCTTGGAAGTTTCCCGGGATGTTTTTCCAACTTTCGTTAGAAATTCTTTATTCTTTCGCTGGATGTATTTTCGGTTTCCTTCAGAAGCTAATTCAAACGTTCCCTGAAAATTTCTACCGACTTTTCTTGGAAACTAAATTTTTCCATCTTAGTCCAAAGAGTTGAATTTTCGCCTTCACTAACAGCACACATTTACAATTTAAACCGATTTTTTTTAAACATTTGATACCGATAGGCTTGAAAACAATCTGGCAACGCTGCAGGAAGCACCAAACTTTACAGCTCTTTTACAATCGCTCTCCTCTCACGATGCTATTTTCTGCTCCCATACGCTACATCACTTCTCTTCACCGAGCATATCCTCTCTTGTGTGTGCAGCTGATAGCATTCTCCGCTGTCAAATACGAACGCAATCGAACGAACGAAGTGCACTGTATATGTATACGCATATTATGCTTGCCTTCCACTACCAGTAAACTACACCAAACAACAAACTGCTGGAAATTCTCATTCTCACCACGGCGGCTCCACATGTGGTGGATATACATCGGAGAGACAGTCCGCGTCTTTCTCAGCAGAAGCCGGAGCGCGTCGTCGTCGTCGTCGTCAGTACAAGTGAGTAAGTGCGAGTGTACGGCATCACGAAGACCACGTCCGATCCCCCGACGACAACTGCAAAACAATCTTGCAATCTATTCTGTGTGGAGACCTGCTCACGCGTTGAAGGGTTCCCCCACAGTAGTGCAGTGTAGTAGAAGAAGGGTCCGTTTGGTTTTGACAAAGTGAAAAAAATTGGAAAAATTCAACTCCCTTCCCCCCCCCTTGCAAATCGTGGTCGTGCCGCGCGTGTTCGATCCGAAGTTTCCGTGGAAACGGGGTGCAAATTCTCAGGTTACTTCTTGTGGTGGAGCAAGAGTTTTCGATTGAAAATCGAATTCAATCGTGGCGGTGCCTTCCTCGCTGTGGGGATGTGAGTGATCTATTGCTGGTGGAAAAATAGGTTGGAAATAGTGAATTGCGCTTCCCCACCCGTCCGCTCGAAGAGTGCAGGAGTGAAGAGTTTGTTGTTTGTGGTTGCAGTTAACACAGTGTGTATTTTTGGGAAGATTGCTTATCGGTTTCGTGTTTTTTTGGTGTGATCAGTGTAAGTGTCTTGGTGTGAAGAGAAGGAGGCAAACGTAAGTGCAAGAAGGGTGGTGTGTATGCACATCAGTGATAAGAAGGAAGAAATTGTCAGCGAGAAATAGAATAAACAGAGGAGATTGTGTATTTCCTGTCGACGAAGCAGTTCAGCAAACGTCAAGGAGCGAAGTCGTCGTCATCATTGGAGCAAACCGTGTGAGTTTTCTATTGATCGAATCGAGTGATTAAGATCGTTTTCGCTTTTGCATCATTTGCACCATCTGTCCCATCCCATTTCTGTTGGTTTCTCCCAATTTTGGCGAAATTTTCTTCGGGATGAGAAACACGGCGATAGTCGTCACTCACAACAATAACAGCCAAACAAAGGGGGAAAAGTTTGCGCTCCTATAGGTGCAAGTTGGGAAAAATCGATTTTCCAATGTCCTCTATTCTTATCCTTGCCCATAGAGCGATGGTGATCTAAGCGTCGTCGCCGAGAAGGCAAACAATGTGCGTAATAGTGTCGGTCGCGGGGCAGCTAGGGAGACTTTGACATACCGACCCTACTCCTAGAGCGGAACAAGTTGATCAATTACTGCGGTAAGGAACGGCGTCTACTGCATCATGTAAATGTACGCGGAAGCAAGTGTTCCTTCCATTTCGCGTAAAGAAATGCACAACACATAAAAAACAGGGTGCAGCTCCCGATCTACGAGGAAAGAGCTGCAGTTCTAACAATAGACCACACCGACTGCCTGTAACAACTGTTCTGCAGCTGTGCACCGAATGATGCAAGGTTTCTGCAAATGGGAGGTGGTTGCGTTGTAAATTACTTTGTAACGAAAAGAAATATGTTTCAGGATTGAAATTCTGTTGTTGTCATGTATTACAACCAAAAACATGACTATTTGACCACCATTTTTTTTGGTAAAACCAAATCACCTTGGCTTCCAAGAAAGGAAACCGGGAACGAAGGGTTTCCTCCATTTCTCGCAGAGCACACACCGTGTAACATAAATATGGAATATGGCCCATCTCATCTACACACAACCGTGACTGACTGACTGGCTCTGACTGTCGGTGATGAGTTACTGTTCTTGCTTGTTCCCTGCGAAAAAAGTAAACAACGCGGAACCAATGTGTACATATAGAGAGGTACGCACTTACACATGTGCGTTTTTACTGGAAGCTTGAAGCGGCACCAGCCCGGCACGGATTCGGCTGTGGTGGATTGTTCGACGCGATGGAAATCAAAGGCCTTGATGAGAGGAAGAAGAACCTTCCAAAAGGTAACAAACAAAGTTTTTTTTTTTTCGATTGCAGATCCAAAGTTAGATTCGATTGATGTGTGAGCTGCGATGTGAGATGGAGCAGAAGTTCCGATGCAGCAGCAGAAGGCAAATTTTCTACCGAAATGCGGGTAGTGGGAGACAGAAATAGCTCGAGTCGAGTTGCTACTTTTTTTTCCAGTTCAAGACTCAATTATGTACCACACCAACTGGATTGGATGTGGTGGAGGCTCTACTCCTTACACCGCGCCCCTCCCTCGCGCCCAGTATTACGTAATTTACGCAATATGGGGGCTCCGGTGGTTTGTGCTTGAAGTGGTTGATGAATGGGATATATCTTTCGGAGAGAATGGGGACCGCATGGGGAGGAAGCAGAAGGTCAATTAAAGGCGCTCTCGACGACGGCAAAAGGCATCATCGATTAAAGATGAGTCATTGAGGGCGGGGAAATGCGATTAATGCTGTAACCTGGTAACGTTTCGATTGATTGATGAATCAGTATTTATCGGTGAATTAATTTGTGATTGGTGACTTTTCGAAAAAATATGGTATTTTGATGGCAACCACCCGGAAAAAAAAACCTGGATTTATCAGGGAATTTGACCATTAATTAGGGAAGTTTTAGGTGCTTAGCTGAAGTAATTGGAACTGCCCTAAGGATCTCAGAACTTTAATAGTTGTCCTGATGTTAATTGAACTGTCTTCAAGTTCTTTGAACGAGCTTGAAGCTCCCAAAAGATTTCCCGAAGTTTTCGGTATTTTCTTGAAGCTTGTGGAATTTTCTTTAGAATTTCTAAACTTCCCTGGAGTTTCTTAAATTTCTTAAAATCTGAACTTCTTCAACGCTTCAACAGAATTCCTGAAATTCATGGAACATCCCTGACAACCACGAAAATTTCTTAGAATGTTTCGAACAATGCCGAAATTCATGGAATATTTCATAATTCCTCGGAACCTCTATAAACTTCCTGCAAGTAATTAATGGAACTGCTCTGAAGTTCTCTGATCTTCCTCGAAATACTCGGAACTTCCCTGAAAATATATTTTTGTGGTTATCATTATAGTCACTTTAACGCACTTTAGGTCATTCCCCAAGTAACATTGCAAGTTTTATCGAGGTTTTAAAGCATTTTACAACGCTAAATCATGTTCTACCGAACCCTAATAACACCGAGATTGTTACTTGGGTTGAGATTTGTCCGGGGATGAGCACTTCCCTGAAAATAATGAACCTGCTTGAAAATCATTATCGAATCGAATCGAACTGGATGACCTGAAAATTTGCTGTGCATACCTCGAAGTCGAAGATCTTTGAGATTCAGTTGAGCCTTCGAAGAAGGACGATGGTATTCTTGAACTCGTCGTTCCAGTAAAAGACAGAAAGGCCAGAGGGAAAATGATTCTATTCCTAGAGCCGGCCAATTGCTACCACGTTCGGGCAGTTTGGCAGAAGCTATGCGACGCGTTTGAGGAAACTGGACTGTTACCGGTTGGTACCATTTGATTCAGTTGGTGTAAGAGCAGGGTCAGTGTTTGCTGAAGCGATGGCGTCTCCATCTGCGGAATAGTGGAAGAGAGCGATATCCGATGAACTGCAGTTAATCAAGCAGAACGATACCTGGACGTTAGTGGACCTCCCATCAGGACGAAAAGCAGTTGGCAGTAAGTGGGTGTTCAAGATCAAGCGTGATGCAGCAGGAGAGATTCAACGGTTTAAAGCTCGTTAAGTCGCTCAAGTATTCAGCGAACAGTACGGGAGCGATTACGATGAGGTGTTCGCTCTAGAGGTACTCCAAGCTACCAAAGTCGAGGGGTCGTTACCAAGTAGATTCCTGACGTTCTCCGGCAGTCCGTGTTGTTCGCGTAGCCTCTTTAAATCCGGGCAGATACACAGCACCAGGTTGAAGGTGGGGCGTACCGTGTAATGGCTTCTATCCATAGGTGACCGCTTCGGCTTCCAGCGCCTGTATGACACTGTGTGAGTCCGTTAGCACAAGCAGCGGTTGATCTGTCGGAGTGATTCTGCGGAAAATACGGAACACTCCTCTGGTAGACTTTGACTTCTTGCAGTGCCGCCCCGAGAAGGTCTGCAACAGAACGCCTCAGCGCTGTAGAGTTACCTCCGGCTTGGAATCCTCTCTTAATCCGCTTATCTATTTTGACAACGTTTGATTGCCAACTCTTCTCACCGTGCCAGGGGACCGTGGCCACCGGGGGAGTTCAAGGTTGGCATCAGTGTTCCCTATCGTTCCCGGATGTTTTAGCGGCGTGGGCAGCGGCTTTCGTAGCAATGGTTGCAGTAGATCGATAGCGGAAAGGGATGATAGGAATCCACACATGCGGCATACGCAGACTTGAAAGAGAGAAGACTGGATACAATGCGTACGTAGGTATTGTATACCGGAGCGAGGATGCGGTTGAGCTTCTCGGTGGCCACCCAAATAAAAAATTTTGTTTTATGAGGGTTCTGTAGACCATGATTTAGACTTGTAGAATGCTATAAAAGCGCGATAAAACCTGCAATGTTACTTGGGTAAGCAGGTAATTTCGAGGCCGTAGAAAAGTCGACTGTCAATAACAGCCCGGGCGGCACGAAGGTGGATCTCACGGTTGCTGGAGCAGTGCGGGCGAGAGATTTTCCTGACGATGGTGATGCAGCTACGACAGTTTCGGGTGCGATCCTGAACTACCCCCAGAACACGTGCTGTTTTCTTGAGCGGAATTGGATGGTCTTGGATGGTGATCGGTGGTCTCCGAATCTGATGGCCCGTACACAGCGCGGAGAGCTTTAGACCAACCGAAAACGCCTTACAAGTAACAATTTTGGTTTTATGAGGGTTCTGTAGACTATGATTTAGACTTGTAGAATGCTATAAAACCGCGATAAAACCTTCAATGTTACTTGGGCTACCTTCTGACGGCGGAGACCGCTGCTTGGGCTATATTCCTGGTCCGCTTAGTCATTCGTCCCGTTACGACGATGAGTATGGCAGTCGGCTGAACACCCCGTTCTGTGCCACCAGGAATAGCGTTACCGCAGTTTCCTCGGGGAACCGATCCGAGCGAGTGTTCCCGACAGTCACCTTGAAGGACGATCAAAGAGGAAATGTGTCATGAGCTGCCTGCTGACGCCGCGTGTCCACGTCCTGTTGAACACCTTTGAAATATCAAAGGAGACTAACTGAACAATGTGACCGTTTTCCTGGGCTTCCTTAAGTACTTTCCCGAGAACCGAAAAGTAAGTAGAGGAGCTGTATTCGTCAAGGAACTACCTGAGACGACGATTTACCATTCTCTCCAACACTTTGGCCGCGCAGTAAGTGAGCGCAATCGGCCTAAAGGAGAAGACTTCTTCGCTCGCCACGTTATTCTTCAGAATGGGCACTACCAAGCTTTGTTTCCAGCGGTCCGGGTACGAGTCGGTGAGCCAAAGATCGTTGAAGAGGGTGAGTAGCCGCATTTTTCCGTACTTGTGGAGGGTTTGACGCGCTGGACGAATACACTGTCGTAGTCACTGACAGCAGACAAACCGGCGAAATAGTTCCCTAACTCGTCGGCGATGTCCTTCGGTTCTGAGATCGTGGTGCCATGAGCTTGGATAGGAATAGACCGCCGCTTGCCGCTAAGAGCGTTGACGCTAATCCACATGTCTCTCGACGATTGAGATTCATCGATTGAATCCAGGAAATCCATCCAGCTGGATCGCTTCGCATCACGGATCACCTGCTTGCACGAGAGATGGCGTTTTCAATAACACTTCAGCGCTTCCTCCCTACCAGGATCATCTAAGGCGAGGCGCTTAAACCGGCGTAACACTTTGCGCCGTGCTTTCACCGCACATTCCACCAACGTAGGGCTTCCGCCCGGATACTCTACCAGTCTTTGACATCGATACTGTTGCAGCTTCGTAGATAACATGCGAGAAGCGGGAGATGTCGTTCGGATCGTGATGCCGAAAAAGAGCGTTGGATTTCTCCCTGAAGGTTTCAGAGTCGGCTTCCTCGTAGCGCCTCCGACTCGTTGAAGGGACCGCAGCTACGGAAACTGCGCTATTTGGCGTGGATTTGCTCAGCCTCAAAAAGGCCTAGGACGGTTTCCCAACACAATTATACAGGCTTATTCCAAGGGGCTACCAGAGGTTATCCATTTAACTTCCAGGGTAATTTCCGGTAAATCCCAGTAAAGTCATTCTGGGTATGATTTTAAAAATTCTCGGAAGATCCCAAGGAAGCATCCTAGATACTCTTTAGAACTGAAATCTTCAGAGACAGACTTGTAGCAGTCAAAACTGTATTGTTCAGGAAAAATTCCTAAAATTGATTGTCAAGATCAAATTCAGTCAAAGGAAGCTTGGTTGGATTCTCCGGGGACATTTCCTAATAGAATTTCGCATGCCCTAATCCTGGAGCTGCATTAAGAGTGAACTTAGCCATGCTCTAGAAATGCTCGATAGGATAACCCTTAAGACAGTTAGGAGAAATCTATGATCGAAGCAAGATCTAATCCAAACAGAAGACTCTTGATTGAAATATAGCGAACACTTCCTGGACATTCTTCTGATAGAATTTGGAATATGAAAGCCCTAATCCTATAGACACTTCAAGGGCAGGCTTGAGACTGAAGTCAGGCATTCTCTTGAAGTGCTCGAGTGAACTGTTCTGAAGACTATTAGGAGAAATCTATGCTGGAACCAACGCAAATCTAGGTTGAAATCAAGACGGGAGAAATGGAACCAGGTGAAATCCAGGCTACAAAGTCTAGGCTGAAATGTTGAGGGCATCTCCGGGGACATTTGTCGCTAGCATTTTGAGGGTAAAAATTCTAATCCTATGGGAGACTGAACTCAACCATTCTGTAGGAATGGAGTGCTCTTTGAAGAAATTGACAAGTTGGACCAGAGTAAGGTTAAGGATTGAGGAATTTTAAAAACTACAAGGGACAGTCCAATGGAGTTTTATGAACTGTTAACGCCACACGATTCTTTGCGAAACCGTTCTCTTATATAGTGACTGCTGGTTAGCTTTAGTTAGGCCGAATAATGGTAACTACAGTATATTAAAGTCTCGGGGTAGGAATGCTTGTTTGTGATTAATTGATTCTTTGATTTACACGATGTTTTAGACGATACTTGACGTTGCCCAATGTTTCAAAAGTATATTGCTGGAAATCAATAGTTTTAACTATTCGACTCGATACGTAGAGAAAATTCCGTTTGATTGATGTAAACATATTGAAAATGTATCTTGAAATATCCGAGTTATAATCGCCCAGAACCTGACCACTTTTCGTTACACGTTCATTTTTCGTATTCGCAAAGTGTACTCCCATATAGAAAACAAACACGTAGTCCTACGTAAAAAAGCTATAAGGGACAGCCCCCTATGGGGTTGTTCGCAATGGGAAATACGTGTTCTTATATAATAAATCTTATTTGTTAACTGCAGCAGGAGCTACTGTTTTGTGTAGGAATAGGAATTTGAACGGGGTTATCTCTGTTTATACTCTTTAGTTTAGCCCACAGTGGCTCACGAAGAGCTACTGATTCCGATCAATACCTGTGCGACTTCTTCCACCGTCTATTGATGCTCATGTATGCTGCATCTCGCTGCTTGCAGGCAGTCTTTCGTTGTGTACTGGAGAACACCACACTCATCACGCGGTGATTGAATAAACACCGTTTGGTGAGACCGCATGGAATTCAACTTTGAAATCTATGTTAGGGAAATCGCTTTCGGCAGACAATCGGTGATAATTTTAACATCATAGCAACAGATTCGTGCAATTTTCAATAATGACATTTTGAAAAATGATAAAGTCTTAAATTTAACAGATGCGTAGAAATATTTCTGATCGATTGGTGATAAAATTATTTAAATTGGTCCAGGGGCAGCTGAGTTATTAACGTTCAAAATCTTTCATAATTTTGTTACATGTTCCATTTTTGGTTTTCACAAAGTGTACCCCCATATAAAAATCACAGACGTAGTCCATCATCAGTGATAAGAGACAACCCTGAAGACTCTTGGGAGAAATCTATAATGGAACTAGGCCAAATCTAGACAACAAACTCTAGGTTGTAATGTTGAGGGCATCTCCGGGGACATTGGCCGTTATAATAAAGTTCTAGATCGACTCAAGATCTACTAATCCTATGGGACATTCATGGATAGGCTTGAGATAGGACTCAGCCATTCTGTACAAACTTAAGTGTGTAGAAGTGCCCTGAAGGGGAAAGTCCTCAACGCTTTTTTGTGAAATCCAGAGCTGCGGAGTCAGATCAAAGGCCAATTAGAAGACTGAGGAATTTTTGAAATACCAGGTGCCAAAATCAGTGATAAAATGTTGGATGGAATTCCTTTGAACGGAATGAAACTTTGTAGGTACGTCAGAAGAAGAAAAGGGAGGCTCCTTGCAGATCTTTGGAGTCCCATGGGAAGAACTAGTAAACGCACAAGGTACGCGAAAGAAGACCATGGAACTCAATTCTAGCTCAGTAGGTATTTAAATGACTTCTATGGGTAGTTCTTCGAGAAGAAAAAAGTTTGAACGAAGTTCAGAACAACCCTTAGGATCTCCAGGATCAGAATCAAAGAATTGAACTGCTAGTCGGCCTTGCGATGAAGTAATAAAAGAACTTCCACACGAAATTCAGAAGACCTCAACGATCTAGAAAGTGCCCGTAAATAGTAGTTTCGGGCGAACTCTCGCAAAAACTTCTTGGCAGAAGTTTGAAGATTTGTTGAATAGTATCCTCAAGTTCGAATGATTGTTTTGCAAAATTTACCAAGCAGTTTGTAAAACTCTGAAGAAATCGCTTCACGAGCTTAGACTCCAAGAAAAGATCTTGAGGACAACTAGGTATTTTTTGATGCTTCTTAAAATAAGATCATAGAACTCAATAGACTTTTACGGGCAGTTCTGGAATAGAAAAGTTTAGGATTTTCGGCAGAACCAGAGAAAGTTCTTTCATGAAACCCCAAGGTGAAGCCCGATGGAGTCATGGGAAAACTTCTACTGTAAATTCAGAACACCAAGAGGATTTCTGCTAGCGAATCTCTCGAATAAGACGTCACGAAAACTTCTTCCTGTAAACTGCTAATACATTTTTGGGCCAATTTTCGACAAATTATGAGGTAGATTCACGAGTTCACGAGTTCGCCTATAAGAGCTATACTGCTTTTTTCAACTCGCAGAGTTTGCATAGAACTCCAAACCCCAAAGGAGTCTCAAAAACGGAGTGTTTTAGTGGGACTTCAATGAAATGTTGGAGAAACTCTCGCAAGAAGATTCATGCTTCCAGAAAAAGGTTGAATTCCTCCAAGTTCTCTCTCAATGCAATTCAAACGAAGATCCTCGGATGCTTAAATCAGGAAAGGGTCGAAGGATGTTGAAACACAGTTCCCAAATAGAACTCTCCTAAGGAAATTCAGAGGAAATGGTTTAGGTCACTTCTGGGGAAGTCTAGGGGCTCCTTAGAAACCTTTGGATTTCCAGAGACGCACGGGTATCCTGTCAAGGTACTTGAAATAACTCAATCCTTACTCAGTAGAGGTTTAAAGGGCGTCTACGGGCAGTTATTGAATAGGACAGTTGATAAAGGTCTCCAAAACTAAGTGAATGTAGTCCACGAAGCCTCTTAGGACCTCCAGAACCAATGAACGTCCACTAAACGGTTAGCTAGTCACTCGGAAGAACTTCCACGGTAAGCTCAGAGGGCTTCTGCTCTGGTGCTCGGTTTGTGCATGGTGGATATCCTTCTTCGTCCACGTCATGTCGAAGAAACTCAAGACTCTGTTACGCAGTAGGGACAACGTTGCTGACTTTGTGATCCGCTTGGAAAGCTATCTGAACAACACCAAGGAGTTCAACGTGCAACAAGTCAAGATATGTCTGGAGAAACTTGAAGCGAAGTGGACTGAATTCGAGGAACTTTAGAACAATATTGAGGGCATGGAGAAGTCCGAGGAGAACATGAAGGAGCACCAGCAGCTGAGGGCAGAATTCGAGGACAAGTACTTTGAGGTAAGGGCAGGGTCGGCGAGTAAATTACCACAACAGTATGCAACACAAAACACAGTTCCTATTAACACCTCTCATGTGCAAGCTTCCGTACAACTTCCTCAAATCAATCTACCTGAGTTCGATGGTAATGTCCAAAACTGGATTCCATTCCACGATACGTTTGTTGCCTTGATCGATTCCTCTACAGAGTTGAACAACATACAGAAGTTCCACTACTTGCGCGCTTCACTCAAGGTTGATGCTTTGAAGCTGATTGATTCCTATTCGATGAGCGAGGCTAACTATAGGGTTGCTTGGGATGGTTTGGTCTCACGGTTCTTCAACAACTACCTTCTCAAGAAGCGGCATTTGAATGCGTTGTTTGAGTGTCCAAGAATGAAGAAGGAGTCAGCGGCAACATTGCACGATTGTTTCGAACGAAACGCTAAAATTTTGGACCAACTAGGAGAGAAGTCGAACGGTTGGGGAGCGATGCTAGTTCACTTAATGGTCTCGAAGCTCGACGAGGTGACTCAGAAGCGGTGGGAGGAGAATGTTACGTCTGAAGAGAGTTTCTGTGGATCAACATATCTTCGATCCCATTGGTTCATGGACCAACAATAGTTTCAAATCTCGTCCATCGAAGGTTTCGGTCAGCTCGGCGACCGAAAGGGTTCCATCGGATTGCTTCGCATGTAGCGATAAACACTGGATCAGTCGGTGTCCAACTATTGCTAAACTTCCGATTGACAAAAAGCTGCAGCTAACCAACTCCAAGCGGCTCTGCAGTAACTGTCTAGGAAGAAATCATTTGGCTCGAGATTGTCCTTGAAAATTTCGGTGCAAGACTTGCTCAAAAAAACATCATTCACTGCTCCACCCTGGTTTTGCTGGTTCTGGTTCTGCTCCTACCCCAGCAGTGAATGACATCGAGGATTCACCTGTTCCATCAACATCGGGTGGTGCTTCGAACTCTGGTGGTTTGGATACTAGTTCGGCGGCATCAATTGCAATGAATCTGGCGATGGGACAGCCAAAATCGCACGTGTTTCTGCAAACGGTTCTGCTGAACGTCAAGGATATTTGGGGAAGGATTCATCTCGCAAGGGCACTTCTGGATGCTGGATCGCAAGCTAACCTGATGTTTGAAAATCTCTGCAACCTACTCCGGCTACCAAGGCGGGACAGGAAAATGGAAATTTCTGGTACAGGACGATCACGTAGTCACACAGCTTATGAAGTTTCCGCTACAATCGCTTCTCGGGTGCAAGATTTCTCAATGGCTCTGGATGTTCTGGTTGATGGAGCATGTTACCGATGATCAGCCTTCCGTTTCTCTTCCGTTGACTCAGTGGAAACCTCCTGCTAACATGGCACTAGCTGATCCGGAATTCTTCGTATCTGGTCCGATCGATCTGGTTTTGGGTGCTCAGTACTTTTACGACTTCCTCGTACGCGAATGGTGGCCGGCTTCAAGTTCGCAAATTCGACAGTACACTTCCAGTATTTGTCAGTACGATGTTCGGATGGGTAGCAATAGGCGAAACGAAATCCATGGATGAGGCGACGCACATCACTTGCCATGTAGCGATGGTGTATTCGTTAGACAAGGCTATTGAAAAATTCTGGACAGTGGAGTAGCTCGAGACTAAAAAACCATGTTCGCAAGAAGAAGAGGACTGTGAAGCACATTTCAAGAATACTGTTCGTTACCCTAAACGCATGGAATTTCACAACATGGTTGGAGAATCGAAGCAAGCGGCTTTACGACGATTTCTTCAAACAGAAAAACGGCTGGACCGTGACCTCAATCTACGCAAGCATGACGTGGATTTTATGCAGGAGTATTTGGACCTAGGGCACATGAAATGCATCGGTATGGCCAATGACGTTCGATCGGATGAAGACAAAATAGTCTGTTATCTTCCGCATCATCCGGTGTTTAAGGAATCTAGCTCGACCACAAAAGTACGGGTTGTCTTCGATGGGTCCGCGAAAACATCCACGAACTTTTCGCTCAACGACGCTCTGCTCTCTGGGCCCAATATTCAGGATGAACTGTGTTGCTCTAGTCGCTGATGTCGCGAAAATGTACCACCAGATTCGGAAACATGAGGACGACACTCCACTCCAGCGGATATTATGGAGATTCAATGCTTCGGAATCGCTTCAAGTGTATGAGCTGCAGACCGTCACCTACGGTTTGGCTCCATCGTCGTTTCTCGCTACGCAGGTGTTGAAGCAGTTGGCTCAGGACTTAGAAAACAAATACAAGCTTGCTGCCAGTGCTGTGCAAGACAATTTCTATATGGACGATTTTCTCTCTGGAGCCGAGTCTGTGGAAGAAGCCATCAAACTACAAAGGGAGGTATAATGATGGAAGAAGGAGGTCTTGAACTTCGAAAATGGTGCTCAAACAGAGTGGAAGTACTACACAACATGCCAACCGACTCGTTGGGAATGGAATCAACGCTGCATTTCGACGAACCGCAAAAAATCAAAACACTCGGAGTGGGGTGGGAGATAGGACCAGACCAGTTTTGCATCGAAGTTCAGCCACCTATCGACGACGGTTGTTGGACAAAACGGAAGATCTTTTCGGCTGTTGCAAAGCTCTACGACCCACTTGGATTGGTGTCTCCGGTCGTAGCAATTTTTTCTGATTGCAAGTAAATATATTATTGAAGCCACTTACCATTTTGTAGAAAACCACTTTTCCCTATAATTTGAAAAGCTTTTTGATCACCAAAACGTACAGAAAAAGGCAAATTTTAACAGCTGTTTACATTTGTTATCACCACTACGACAACAGCTTGGATTTCATTTTTTCGTTGAGAATACAAGGTGAACAATGCATTAACTCCTAAGTAACATTGATCGACTCTCTTCATCGACTTTCTCTTTCGTTAATAACTTGGGTACAGAACCGCTTCTTCAGATCAGTGCACGAAGATTTGCCGCACTCTTCCCTCTCCCGTAAATTTTGACAGTTTTGGGTGGTTTGTTTTGGCTCCTATTCGTTGCCATCTCTTTTACTCACAGACAAAATAATAGGACGCAAAAAGTGAGGTTAGGGACCGTGCACTGATCTATGTCGTAATATGACCGTGAGGATGAGAAGAGCAAGTCGACGAAGAGAACATGTCAATCTTATAGCGAATTCGTTTATTATTCAGTTCCAACCTGGATCGGGTATCAAGATTGGGCCTGCTTGTTTTCTGACAAACGTCAGTTTGATCGTTTGTTTTTAAAACCCAGCTCAGGTTGAGGTTCGCACTGACAAAAAGTTTGGTTTCGCACCGATAATAAACGAATTCGCTATTACTTTGGACCTAATGCATTGTTCAGCTTGAATAATGTTGTCTTTTCCAATCCGCAGCTCTCATTTAATTCATTTGAAATAAAAACAACACAGGGTCACAGCTGATGATAGCTAAAGATCATCACCCTGCCACGTGTTAGTAGCTCATGTAAACGAATAAAGCATGTCCACAAGGCCAGGCAGACTGTTTGTCTTGTATTCGGTTCGCTTTTACGACCCGAACCGGGCACACACACACCACATGACCCGCATAATTTGTTCCTTGCAAGATGCGTTGCAGACATCGTAAAATTCACTCGATTTGCTAACACGTATTCATGGGACAAATGGGACTAAAGGCTCACTGAGTCGAACTAAGGGATTATACAGCCTAAGATTGACGAGATCCGGATTATCGTAGTTTTCCCAGTCGCCGTATGAGTCGTTTCAAGAGTTTCAATCCTATTGTCATCATCGCACTGCCTCAATGACGCAATCATGGGACCCTTTTTCGGCGCCTGAGGCCGCATGACATTGAACTTTTATCCGCTTATGGCGTGCCTTTTCCTTTTTTTTTCTCCTTCATCAGCAAATCACATCCCCCGGCAATACAACCGTCATGATCATATTTCATTGTTTTGGGTACGAATTTCGTAAATACCGACCCTACATAGTCATTCGGGGGGGTATTTCGCTGTCGCAAGAAGTCAAAACACAACAAACGCATTAAAGCAACTTCGGCAGTCACCGAGCAACAACGGCGATACAATGACAGATAGTAATGTTACTGGTCGGCCGTTTACTAGAATGGCTTCCACTTGGTGTCTCAAGTGGCCGTTTAACATTTGCGAAGCGTTCGTTGTCACCGTTGTCGTCGTCGTCGTCGTCGTAGTTTCACATTTCGTTAGCCATTCAGTGCTAACATTTGAAAACGGCGCAAAAGCCATTTGTAAACAAATGGTTTGTGGGCCCTTTACTCGCTACCCGAAGAACGCCCACGCAAACCAACAGCATCGTCAGGAAGGGGAAAATTTCCCCTACCCGATGTTGCTGTTGTGTCGCGTGGGTGTACTTCAAGTAGTGAGTAAAGGGCCCACAAACCATTTGTTTACAAATGGCTTTTGTGCCGTTTTCAAATGTTAGCACTGCATTAGTCATACCATCGACCAGAGACCGGGACGGACGACCGACTGCGGCTGTCTCCTTTGTTAACTTTTCGGTTCGGCATGCTGTTTCGATTTTGGTTTTTGTTTTTGTTTTGGACCTGAAACCGGACCGCAAGTTAAGGCGTCCGTCGCGTTGCACTATGGGTCAGAAATGGAAATTTCGGGACACAATTTAGGCGGCATTCTACCTCTCAATCAGTGCTGAGATTTTCCATTGTCATTGACAGACTTTCGCGCGATATTGACAAAATTGTTCTTCACATAGTCACTGATAACCTTTGTCAAAATCGTCAATGACAAAGATTCATCTGGTAACAGAAAGTGTAATTGCGTGCATTCTGATTCACATTATTGATATCCAAGCAGTTCAGAACGTAGATGCCTCTTCACTTTAACGGCTCCGTGTAATTGTTTTGCTCAAGTCATTTAATTTCGTAAATTCGTGTTCGTCACTGACAGCATTGTCTCTGACAATTGACATGGTTTGCCTTGACGATGACGGTTAGATCAAATGAGTGACCAATGCAGAATTTTGACTCTCACCGTGTATTGTCGATATTTTGTAGCACTGAGAGTAGAGTAGGGTAGAGTTATTGGTTTAGTCGTCTAAATTGACCCACTGTGCGTTTGTTAAGCTGGTTGCAGTTTTTCGGTGTCATAATATGCGGTGAAGTGAACACATATGCAAAACTGCGGATTTTGCAGCCATCGGCGGGGCAGCAGCAGCCACCGGATTATTGCAACATCAGACTGTATGTGTATGTGTGTGTGTGTGTCTACATGGATCATTACTGTCTGCTGCAGTAAACCGGATAATAACTGGATGCTGCTGACCGAGTTTATTTGCTGTATTGTTTGACCCGTTTACTGATGGGATTTTCTTCTCCTTCTTGGATTGTAACGTACCGATAGGAACATATTACTAATCGCAATTAACGATGCACCGGATAGTGCTATTTGTTCAGGTCAGGGCGTCACAATAGCAGCTTCAATCGTCAAAATCTAAGCAAACGTATCTTAAGTAAAGGTGGGGTCTTTTGAGAAAATTAACAGATGAACTATTAAACACGATTTTACAGTGATTTTCCTCTCAGTGTATTTAAAAAAAATAGTCCATACAATTCCCTACACCTTCTTTTCAGACGTCATTTTGATCA